AACCACGAGCGTGAATCTCCTCGAGAGTCTCTCCCCGAGATTGTCATTTGGAATGTTCGGCAACACAAAGTGCCCGAGCCTAAGAAGCATTGGAAATCTCTTTTGCCCGAGCATGAGCAGCTTCAACATCATCTCGGTAGACAGCCACGACACGCCTTCGCGTCAGCTTTTACTCTTTTTGCCTCAGATGAGGCCTTTGCAAGTTCGGTGGCCAATCGAACCTCGAGCTCCTCAATTTTCTTGGCTCGGACCAAGCTTTCCTCCTTCATGCTCTGGAGCTGACGCTCGACCGAAGACAGCTGGGCCCGAGCAGCATCATTCTCTGAGGCAAGGCGGTCCATGTTCTTCTTCCACCCCAAAGTCTCCGCCTCTTTCATCTTAGCCTCCTCGCAAAGCAGCTCAATTCTGCTGAACCTGCAGAATCTAAGCGTTAGTCGCCAATATCAAATTGATATGTCAAGCTCCCAAAAATTTACATTACCTGCTCGATGAGATTGGTTTTCTCTTTATGAGCTATTGCCAATTCAGCTCGGAGGTCCCTGATCTCCTCTTCTTTTTACACATAAAGGAGTTTGAGGGCATCTCTCTCCTCGGTGATCCTTGTGAGATCGGCCTCACACCGGTCCAGCTATGCCCGGGATTTCGGAAGCGCTTCCCGGTGAAGCGTCAAGTCCTATGAAGAAAGAAAGGAAAGTCATACAAGAGAAAATCAAAAAGACAAAAATGATATTGATAAAGGAGCTAAGACTTACCTGACTCAGGAGCCGATGAACCTCGTCATAGATGCTCGATGCGTCCAGAAAGGGAACATCTTCGACCCCCGTAAGCAACCACGGAAAAGGTCCTCCCCTTCGTGGGCAATTCCCGCATCGGGGGTCCCCATGGCCCGAGCTTCCTCAATTTGCCCCTCGAAGAATGAGGGGAGGGGCGGAAAATCACTAATGTCTGTTGCCCCAAGCAAGTCACTTAGGGAATTCCCTTCATTTCGAAGGGTCTCAAAACTGGCCCCTTCGGATACGTCCACCGATTGCGTATCTCGATGGAAGACAACGTCAGCCCCCGCTGACTCGGGGACTCCGCTCGGGGCATCTTCCAAGCCCTCCTCAGCCCGAGGCTAAACTTCTTCGATTATAGCCGGCTCAGCGGCCTTTGGGACCTCGGCGCTCTTCTTTCGAGCCACTAGTTTGAAGGCGCCATCCTCATCCTCCTCCTCTTCTTCATGTCGTAGTTTTTGGGCTACGTCAGCAGATAAAGCGGCAAAGTCATTGTTCGACTTGCGAGCCTTGCTCTTCTTAGGATTCGGAGTATCTAAAGGTAAGACCCTTCTCCTCTTCTTATCCTTAGCCGGTTTCGGGGCCTCCTCTTCCCCAAGCGGGGCCGGCCTCATTTCGGCAACATCCCCGAGACCTGCATAAATGGGAATCAAGTAAAAATGAAAAAAAAAACGTTACAGAAAAGAGCATCAAAAGCGTATAAGATAAGCTTACCATGATTCTTGGCCTCTCATCGACCCCTTGCTAAATCGCTCCACGAGCGCTCAACATATGTAGAAGTCGAAGCCAGCTTCCGAACCCAACTTTCGAGGTTTGGGATTGCACCGAGCACCCAGGGAACCGCTAAATCCATAAGGAAAGACGTGGGCGAGAAAAGATGTGGATGAAGGAAGATAAAAGAAACAAAGCAATCAACGTAAGATGTTGATGGGCTTATACTTACGCTCCATGTTCCATTCCTCGGGGAATGGCATTTTCTCGGCCGGGATTATATTGAAGGTCCTCATTCGGACAAACCGACCCACCCATCCCCGATCATTGTCCTCATCTGTACTCGAGAACAACACTTTATGGAGCCTTATTAAACCGCCTCGATGGAGACGGGGGCTATACAGTCTAATGAGGTGGTCGAGGGTAAATGGCATCCCTTCGACCTTGCTCACGATGAATCGAATCAAGATAACAAAGCGCCAAAAGGAAGGGTGTACCTTGCCAAGAGTTATTCAGTATTGACGGCAGAAGTCGAGGATAACCTAATCAACAGGAACCAGCGTAAAGGGGTAAGTGTAAACATATAAGAACACTTCTACGTAAGCGGTGATGTCCTCTTCAGGGGTAGGAATCACCACCTCTTTGTTTTCCCAATGGCAATCTTTTTTCACTTGCTCGATATCGCCTTCGGTTATCGAGCATACGTATCTCAACATTGGTTCACAATGGCCATGGACCGACGAGGTTTTGCAACTTTAAAATCGGAAGTGAGGTCGCATGACCCGTGAATGCACTCTTCGATGCGTGGCTCCATCGGCGTTTTATCACCGGCCGACCGCGATGAGGAGGCTTTTTCCTTTTGGGGAACAGTTTTAGATCTTTTCGCCATTTCTATGTGAGTTCAGAAAAAAAGAAGAAAATAAAGTTTGTTGTTTTAGGAGAGGATTGGCAAATGGGATGTACATAATTTGCAGAATTGAGGAACTTGAAGGAAGGAGAGCTTTGAAGATTAAGCAATGTTTTGAAAATAAAGTTTGAGAAAACTATGAAGAGGATCTATTTAAAATATTGCTATGATTGAAAACACTAGTGGCCGACCATTAACTGGCGCTAATTAATGGTCTTGGGAGTTGTGCAGACGTGACGCTTCAGACACCTCCATCGCTTACGTCACAAGGGTGACGTCGCAATTGGTCGATGTACAAAATCGAAGACTCAGTTCGTTTCTTCTCATTACACTCCAAGAAACGAGGGGACTATCTGTATACGGATAAAATTGGGCTTGCCCGATTTTGCCATTATTTCGAGATCAGGGAATTACATTGAGGGTCAGCCTCGCGATGGTTCGGGCTATAACACGAAGACGAAGTGTCGAGTTCAAGAGTCGAGATGTCCTTCGAGACTAAGGCCAGCAACAATCGAGGCTAAGTATAACCGAACTCGAGTGAAGTGCAATAACGGAAAGGCGAGATTTCCGTAACCGGTCGAAGATCATGGCGGAAATTCTGGAACAGATCGAATCAAGGGTGATTATTTGTACCAGTTATGGGATTTACTTCCGTAATTAAAATTGTACCATAATTAGGATTCCTCTAGTATATAAAGGGGAGTCCCCATCATTTGTAAGGCACTTTGACATTCACACAGACTAAAGAAATACAAGAATCTCTGTTTAATTTACGTTCTCTCGTTCATCAGTTCACTACTTTTTAATTGTTCTTGCTCTGTTAGCTCGAGGATACATTAACTCGAGGGCTCTGTCCAAAACGCTGGTTTGTTTCGCATTAATATTAATTTCTATTGCTTATCTTTACGTTTCTCAATTGATATTAGGTGAAATCACGTATCCTTAAAACCACATTACAGGTTTAATTGTTACTCAATTTTTAGGGTAAACAGTAACAAAGAAATGTATCGGAAGATCAATTCAAACTCTCTACATGGCGTTTGGATTAGGATAAGGATAATAATCCCGAAATAAAATTTAAAATTGTATTTATTTCATGTTTGATTATAGATATTAGCTAATCACATAAAAACTTTTTCTTTAAAATAATAGGATTAGTTATCTCATATAAAAGGTGCAATAGTTAAGGAGTATTATCACTTTTAGCCCTCGTAAGAAATTATTTACATTCAGTAGCCGAAATAGTGTATAAAATTTGTATAATTTTTTTGTATAGAATGTATATATATGCAAAAAAATATACATTTTTTGACTATTATTTTGAGAGCGGCTATGCATTGTTATTTTCGTAATCGTTAGTTAATCCCATACCATACCATGGGATATCGTGGTTTATGCCACCTTTGTACCAAACGACCCCTTATAGTTCTACTCCACTTTTTGGAAGTAAAGATCTCCTTACTTCTCCTAATACAGAGGTGTGATACATTTAACTAACTCATAATCTAAAAATAAATAATAAAAGAAATTGACAGTCTACATGTCTATGCCGCTTAACATTGTGAACTAAAAACTTATAAATTTCGATTTAGCTGCTGCTAATTAGTCAAGACTATTAGTTTTAACTTGGTTTACTTAATTTTTGGTTAAATAAATTTTAATAGTTGGTTGGTTATTAATGGACAAAAGAATTCTTAAACTAATATCTGGATATTTTAAAAGTGTAAAACGTACAAGATATATAGAAGTTTCTTGGGTTGTTTTCAAACATCGAAAAGTCTTATTGGTTTTTACATAAAACTAATTAGGAAATGCCGATACCAACCAATATTTGATACTTTATATATAGTTATTTCAAGTAGCCGATCACTTGGAATGCACCCATAAAGGAAATTACGTATAAAATCCATTGGGAGAAACTCCTTACAAGAAATTCTTTGAAGGTGACATTCGATAATATACAGTCAAATCTCTCTATAGCAGCCTCGCTCGTTCTGATATCTTTTTTGCTGCTATAGTGAAATGTGTTATAGAGGACATATATTATAACACAACATAAAAATCGATTTCGATAAAACTTGACTTTTATAGTGAATGATTGTTATATAGAGATGTTGTTATAGAAATGTCTGACTATACAAATAAAATTCATAAAACACAAAATATATAATACAAAATAAAAAACGTCACATGTATTAATGTGTAAGATAATTGGACTAAAAAAATAGTCCTTCTGCCTCAATTCATGTGATGCAATTCGGATTTCGATCAAACGAGTTTTTCTTTGATCGGAATTCTTTCATATATATGCATTTTATATTTTTTGAATTGTTAAGTATTACATATGATTTATAATACCTTTTATATAGTTTTCAAATATATAAATTTTATTTTTAAAAAATTAATTCCCTTATTTTTTAAAATTAGATAGTTTGACTCTCGAAATTCAAATTACATAACAAACATTGGACGGAGGGAGCATAAACTAAAAGCACGAAAAGCCAAAAAAAAAAAAAAGGAATTTTAAATGTCTAATCAAGCCATGAATTAGTCTATAAATACATAGACTTTCCTCAACATCTCCACCTTGAGTTCTCCATCTCCCTTAGAATTCTATATTTTCATTTAGCTTCTTCTTTTGTGAGCAAAATAAATATGAAAACAACAGAAAAGTTTGAGAGGTTCGCAAGCTGCAGAGGTGTAGCATTTGAAATAAAGCCTCGCGAAGATCCATTTGCTGTTCCTAAACAACCAATAATTGAAGCTTCCCAAGGTAGCAAAAGATTTTGGCTTAATAGTTTTAGCAAAAAGATTGTTCCATCTTCATCTTTTATGCAAAGATCAATGAGTCGCACTAGTAGCCATTTTTGTGACATAGTCATAGATTTGGACGACGACGATGATGATAATGATAATGATGATGTTACTCTAGCTGACATCGAAGAAGGCTATTACGAAAAAGAAGGGTCACCTTTGCAAATTCAAGTGGGATCATCATCACCATTGCCATTTCTTCCTCCGAAAACACTGAGCAAACGCGAAAAGAAAAACCCTAATTCATCAAGATTGTCTGTCATTCTTCTTGATCAAGGCTTGTTTACAGTTTACAAACAATTATTCGTGCTCTCTTTTGTTATAAATATCACTTGTTTGATTCTTGCTGCTACTGGGAATTTCTCATATGCAAGTAGAAAAGCTGTTTTGTTTTCCATTGGGAATATTTTTGCTTTAACACTATGTCGAAGTGAAGCATGTTTGCGAGTAGTATTCTGGCTTGCAGTGAATTGTTTAGGATGGTCTTGGATTCCTATTCGGATCAAGACTATGGTTACATCTTTACTTCAATCTCTTGGTGGAATTCATAGCGGTTGTGCAATCTCTTCAATTGCATGGCTTGTTTATGCCTTAATCCTGACGTTGAATGACAGTGAAAACACTTCCACTGAAATCATTGGCGTTGCTTTTGCAATCCTTTCACTTCTCTGCTTATCTTCATTGGCTGCATTTCCCCTCGTCCGCCATCTCCATCACAATTTCTTTGAGAGAATTCATCGATTTCTTGGATGGACAGCATTAGCACTTCTTTGGGCTTTCATAACCTTAACAATTTCTTTTGATCCCGAAACCAAATCTTACAGGACTGAGATTAGTTCTAAACTGATAAAACAACAAGAATTCTGGTTCACAGTGGCAATCACAGTACTAATAATCATTCCATGGTTAACAGTGAGACGTGTTCCAGTGAAGATCACATCCCCATCTGGACATGCTTCGATCATCAAGTTCGACGGTGGAATCAAACCTGGAATTTTAGGAAGGATTAGTCCTTCACCCTTCTCCGAATGGCATGCATTCGGGATCATTTCGGATGGGAAAAAAGAACACATGATATTAGCAGGTGCAGTTGGTGATTTCACAAAATCTTTAGTATCAAATCCTCCTAGCCATTTATGGGTTCGACAAGTTCATTTTGCAGGCTTGCCGTATTTAGTAAACATGTACAACAAGGTCCTGGTGGTAGCTACTGGCTCAGGAATCTGTGTTTTTCTGTCATTTCTTTTGCAACCATGTTCAGCTGATGTGTGTTTTCTTTGGGTGACGAAAGGGGTGGAACAAAATTTTGGAAAGGAAATCAAAGAGATGATTAATGGACATCCAAATGAGAAAGTGATTATACATGATACAGCTTTACTTGGTCGTCCAAATGTATCAGAAATGAGTGTTGAGACAGCCAAGAAATGGGGAGCTGAAGTGGTTATTGTTACTAGTAATCCAGAAGGGAGTAGAGATGTGGTTAATGCATGCAAAAAGTCTGGAATTCCTGCCTTTGGTCCTATTTGGGATTCTTGAGACGGGGGAGTGCTCCGTACGAAGGATTTTTCCATACCCAGGGCTCGAACTCGAGACGTCTGATTAAGGGAAAAGCAGCCTCATCCGCTGCACCACGTCCTTTGGTGGTTTTGCTATTTATTTGTATCTGTTATATTACAACACAAAACTAATTATTGACCATGATATTCACTTTGAAATTCATCAAACTTGAAATGTTATTATGTGATTACAAGAAACAGAACTTAACTCTTATTAGATTTGCAAAAGTGTTACTTGTTTCATCATTTCTCACTCCAACGCATTCTTTTAAATTTACTATTCCATTGGGATTAAATTTATTTAGTGTTTGATGTGGCTATTAATCTATTTATACCAAAATTGTGAGATTATCTATCTCATATAGGAGGCAGGATTGTAACATTAAGAATATAATACTGGGATAATCCTTATCTTGAACCAAAAGACCCCTGAGTCTTCTTCCATTTGATGTTGCCTTCTCTTTTCTTGCAATTAAACAAAACATATTTATCCTATTATTAACTGAGCATATCATTCCTTTGCGAGGTCAAGGGTTTAAATTGTCAATGCTAATGTTTTAAATTTGTCATAAATAGGATAAGTTAATTAATGTGCACACGAGTTCCAGTTTTTTAAAGATGTGAGAAAGATATACATAAAACCCCAACTACGTACAAGTCTCGACTATAGAGGAGCAATTCAACTTTTAACCGTACACTCTACCCTTGACTATGATCAATACCGGCACACAAGCATGAACATACAAAATTTTAATTCTTCCCGTTTAAGCATGCCCAAGTATAACATTTCAATTCAATCAATTCCAACAATCTATTTGTCACCACCCAACCTTAAAAGCCGACTTGTAACCACTAAGCACTCCCAATTCACGCACTCACCTAACAAGAAAGTTTACAACATCACCAATCATTCATGAGATCATGTGCCCTTACCAACAAACGAAAGAGGGAATATATACTAGTCCACACATTCAAATATGCTTTTGAATATAGATTAAGGACATCACACAATTGAACAAAATTCGCTCACTCTCACAAAGAATTCATATGCATCCTGCGGTCGTACCATTGCCCGTACTGTATATCTCTACTAATTTAAGCTAGCCAAATCTAGGATCAATTAGGACTTTAAGGTTGTAATGTAGGCTAAGGGACGGGTATGATACATTTAGAAATAGTGACTAACCCTCCTAAGCACTTTAATACACTACATTCACAATTCAAGCACATATTCTTCTCAACCAATTCACTTGACACAACCCATATGCAACATAGCCCTTACTTTCATTAAGCACTTCTATACTCCCACTAGTACAAATTATTAAGAATTGAAGGTGTGTATTTTTCTACGTACTTTCACTATCAATTTTTTTATTTTCTTGCAATTTTTTTTCTTTTTCTTCACACACCCCATACATTCTACAGGCTCAAAGGGGCTAGCAATGGAAAACTCTATTTTTATGTGACAAGCACATCTACGACCAAGCAAGAAACGCCTACGTCATCTCTTAAATTAGCACAACTTACAATTTCGCTTTGATTAACACACGGGGCAAGTTTTAGACTACACAGAATAGCACAGAAGATCACAAATCCTCACACACATTGCACATGGCTCAATCACAACGGTTTTGTTCAACTCTCAAGTCAAGCAAGCACACATACTTGAGAAAAATTAAGCAATATTACACTATGTGGCATACAAGTCAAACAACTGAGAAAATGTGTCACAAAATAGGTTATTTACTTTACTTAGATGTAACAATTCAAACAAAATACACGGGAAGATAGAATGTATGTCACAGCCTAATGTGCCAACATCAACCATGTCAATGAGTATCTCAGAGCAACTCAGTTTCTTCCTAAACTACTCCTAAAAAAAAAGTACCCGGTTCGAGCTACATCCTTGGAAAAGAACCGGCGCCCAAAGAAAAACCAACGAACACTACCTAACTATCCAAAAAAAATTCCCTCAAGAAAATTGTCCAAAAGATCCATCGTCGGAAAAAGTCCGAGCTTTTTTTAATTTTTTTTTCTTTTTTTTGTATATATATATATACACATAGGTTTTTTTGTTTAAAGCAACTAAACTAAAACTAGACTAAATAAAAAAAAACTAAAACCAGACTAAATAAAAATAATAAAAGAAACATATTAAAACTAATAAAAGAAACAAATTGATACAAGCTATACAACTACATCAGATATAGTATTCCTCCCACCCCACACATAGTCTATGCATAGTCCCCAACGCATATAAAAATGTAAAACAAAGTAGGGTGAAAAGAAAACTTTCTGTCAGTTGGAGTCCTCCTCCTCAGCGTGCCCTCCATCAGCAGCTCTGGGCACATCATCATCTGATCCTAGAGGCACCAAAGCCATGGGCCCCGGAATATCATCACCAACCTCGTCCTCCGTGTCTGAGCCCTTGAGAGAGTTTGCGTCCTCCGACGAGTGAATGGGGCTGCCGGGTGCTATCCCTAACATCTCCTTGGACGTGCTCGACAAGTCATTGCGTAAATGCATACGCTCCTCATCTGAAATACCAGCCCTGCTCATGAGTAAGTTCAAAGAGTTATAGAGGTACCTATTAATGTTCCCGTCTCGTTTAATCCTTGCTGCTGGAGTGAGTTTGACGACGTCTCCAACAGAGATGTGACGTCCAAAAGTCCCGACGGAACCTCCACCACCTCATCATATCCTGGGTACTCCGGCACTCCTCGGAATAGCATATACTATGTGAGTAAGTTGCCGAAGAAGAACCTCTTAATCTGTCGCCTAAATCTCGTGCGGGCCATCTCACCAAGCATAATCTCACCCACATTAATGGGTCTGCCGGTCATCAAAAAGAATATGACACACACTCTAGCTCGAGTGCAGTTGTTGTTGTGCTCCACTGGCATGAGTCTGGCTTGCACAAAATTCTGCCACACTTTGGCAGTCTTGTTGAAATCAGAGCGAACCATAGAAAGGTGAATGTCGCCTTGCTTCCTAGTTCACTTAGCATTTGAATCCACGCCACAAAGAGTGTGACGTATCAACATGTATTTTGGGCTTCTGACAAATTTCTGGAGCCTCCTCGGGTCAGCATTCTCAACCCCCAAATATGCACATAAAGACTCTCTATACATTGGCACGTTCTTCCCCCGTACACATGCAGTGCCCCATCTTGCATCCCAGTTGGCATAATGTTCCCGAACCATGCTCAGATTTGCATGCCCGGGGCATTCTAGGAACTTGTTCATATTCAGTGCGCGTAGCCGGCCAAGTACCTCCAGGAAGTTTCTTTCTAAAGCCTTGGTATTAATTCCCATCTCGGAGATGTACCGTCCATTTGGCCCAAAGTCCCTATGCCACGCAATAGCCGCATCATTGACCAACTCCAAGAGAGGCCTCGGTCTCAATGGCGCCTGCTGTGATCCTTCGGCAACCTGTTTGCCCTTAGCTTGCCGCGAGGATCCTTCTCCTTGCTTTCGCTTTTTGGGTGCGGGGGAAGTGGTGGAGGACTTTCCAATGCCCTTGCCTTTGCTAGAACTATCACGAGCCATAGTATCCTGCAACACAAATAAGCATGAATGTGAGAACTCATCAAGAATGATGCCTAAGGTTGACGCGCAAGTCATAAATGATCCTACACTTAAAACTGAAGGCACATTGTACAAGACTTCACAATTTGGATCAAAAATGCTCAAGTGTTGCACTCCAAAGTTATGCGTACTCAACACTTTCCCATGCCACACAATAGCTAAAAGGAACTAATCAATGCCACACACATAAATGATTAATCATGGCTTAGTGAATTCACCTTAATGCAATCAAAAGGCATATGTTAGTCACCTTTCCACAACTACTATACTACACTAAATTAGCTAAATTCTACAACATACATTATATAAGATAGATGGTGCAGGAACATGTTTGCATTGACACTAAGCTCCTTAGCATGTAAAATCACCCCCACATACCTCCACACTTAGCCCAAATTCATACACAAATATACTCGGTTACTCAGATTTTACCGGTACACCAAAATCTTCATTCAAACATTTTAACAAACACCTTGTGGGAATTCAAGTTTAACAATGATGGAACATGGTGGCCCTCCCAAATTTCAACGAGGTAGAGGGAATTCTAGTTTACTACTCCGTATACACAATAACTAAACAATTTTCGACCAATGTGGACCACCAACCATAAAATTTCAGCAAGAAACTACATAATGGAAACTTTGAGGATTAGGGCACTTGGGAGATGGGATGTACATTGTTATCTACCAATTAAAATACAAAAAAGAAGAAGAAGAAGAAGAAGAAGAAGAAGAAGAAGAAGAAAAAGAAGAACATATCTGTAGAATTTAGGATGAGAGTAATGGAAAACTTGAGAAAATTTTGAGAGGGGAGAAGAAGAAGTCGCGGCAGAAGCAGCGAGAGATAACGAGAGAGAAGCGTTTGATTTGTTTGCTTTGATTTTGGAATTTGGGTTATGGATTAAGTTGAGTTGGGGATGGGTATGGGTAATAAGTGGGTTTTAATGTGAAAGTGTATGAGTAGATGGGTTGGGTTAATGGGTATGGTTTATTAATCTACAAAATAAATGAAAAATAATAAATAAATAAAAAATTAATACCTGGCCACCCCCAGCCCAGCGCTCAGCACTATGCCTGGCGCTTTACCAACTAAACGTTTCAAAATAAGTGTTAGGAATCACCGACGATCAATAAGAATTCAATTTAGGCCATTATTGAAAAAGTTAATAAAAGTCAACACCGGGCCCGCTAGGTCCAAACCCGATATTCGGGCCAAAACTCGATTACCCATTCACCCCCGAGCCCGGATATGTAATTGGTTTTGGAATCCGACCTCAATTTGAGGTCTAAATCCCCAAATTTCGAAATCCCTAGTTTCTACTGAAAAATCCCCAATTCCACCATGAAAACCTTAGATTCTAGGTTGAAATCTTGTAAAATAAAGTGAAAGATTGAAAGAAACTAGTTTAGAATCACTTACCTATTATTTGGGGAGGAAAAGCTCTTTGGAATATCGCCTCTTGTGTTTTAGGTTTTGAAAATTTGAAGAATGGGAGAAAAATCCTGTTTAAGTCCCTTTTCATCAGCTGCAAATGTCGCATTTGCGACCTGGGCTTTGCAATTGCGAAGCTCG